AAGTCTTCAGTGAACGCTCCCTTTGTCAACTGCTGCTTGGAAGGTTCACACGGTCAAATGCTCATTGGCATTTCTTCATACCCACTTCTTCCACTCACTTCCCATTGCTTCAGCCGAAGGGCTCTCCTCTCACTAGGAGTGGGTACCAGGCCAAAGGCGGTATGCCGGCTTCTCGGAATTCTCGAGCTTTCCTGAGTAATTGAGGAAACAGACGAGCCCATTCCATCACCAAAGTACGTTGGGCAAAACTCATTTGCAAGAAGAATTGGATGCTAGACAGATCCTGTATGTATATTTCCATTACTTTGTGATTTATCCAGCGACCTCTTCGCCTGACCAGTTCCGAATCCTCGGAGCATTGCAAGATCCATGTTGCTCCCCCGGGTCTAAGAGACCCAGGGTCCAGGGATTTAGATCCCTGACAAGCTCCGGTGGGGATCTGCAACGCTCTGAGGAGATGGTTGAACCGAACTCGAAAAGTCTGCGCTGAAAAGCCCCACAGTCTCTGATGCGGGAGCAAGTGTTGGAAAGCAACATTTACAACTGCCAGTAAATCTTCAATATCAAGTTTTGCGCTTTGGTGTCTCGCTGCCACAAATCTGGTTTTTGGTTCTTGTAACGATAACAATGCAAAATTGTTTGTAAACAGCGTGTCAGCCGGAAGGAGTAAATCCTTCCTCAAGGCTCCTGTCAACTCTCCCGTTCTCAATAAAGCTCCAAATCCTAGGCAAAGAAGTCCAGCCACATCTATCCAGCCCCAGGCAATGCTTAAAGCCGTCATTGCTAACAATATCTGCCAAGGCATTGAGATGTGGTGCACTGGTCTTTCATCTTTCACCCAGGCAAAAGCCAAATCCCAGGCCGGTTGCAGCTGTCTTCTCCAGACTGGTCTCATGCTTGCAATGCTGTTGATCGTTTCGACAAAATGGGCATAAGTACGCCCACTGTCATACAGTCTTCTACCGTAGGTGATCAGAAGCTCATTTACCCTTTCCACATGTTCTATAGGACGTGCCAAAATCAAATCAATGTCAACGGAAACTCTCTTGCGCCACAAAGAAAACTCTCCAAAAAGCTTTGCTCTGTTTGACGAAGTGGCAGCAGTGACCGGTCTTCCTGAAGGAAGTGGGGGCTTCTGCTGTCGTAGGCCTTGTCGTTTCCAGTCCCCCGGAGTACGAGGATGCAGCATTCCATGGCAGGGGACGGCCCAAAGACCTATGCTACCTAAGGAAAATATGACTGGCCGAGAGCAGAGAAAGCAAAGTGGAGAGAGGCAAATCCAACAGGAGAAGCCGAGCAAGTGAAGAAAGCGCACAAATCCATTGACGAAATGGCCTTCGCCGGGAAATCCAAGCGTCTGATCAAAATCCAAGGACACGTCACAATCATAAGGCTGCGGGACAGTGGAACGATCACAACCCGGCACCAGAGACTCCTGCACATGCTTCGCTGGACGCCCATGCACGTTAGGTGTCCAAAACAAACCACGCACCCTCTTCCGATCAGAAACGAAACTGTTGACCTTATATGAGCAAATGGCTACAAACAACCGTATCCAATTTGAGGCCCATCTACGTAAAGGCATAATCTTGGATAAAGCATGGAAATCCTCAACATCTAGTGCTTCGGCACAGACACTGCTCGAAGGCTCTCTCACTTCCCTGTCCCGTGTGGGGTCATCAGCCGTGTTCAGCCGAGTTGGCACGAAAGGCAGGGTAAAGTAAATGCATCCTGCAACCACGGCGGCACCAAACTTTCTGAGGAGGGGGTTTAGAGCCTTACTTGAAGACCTCCCCTTGGATGCAGCACACCTAATCACATTGGAATCAACTAAGTTCACGACCCGGAGTGGGGTTGGAGACCTCACCATGCGTTCGGCAAGACGAAGCAAACTCTTCATTTCCAGCAGGTTTATGTGTCTTGGCCTCTGGAACCACCATGAGTCTTTCTTCTTCCACTGTAAACTGGTCGCAGCAAAATTTACAAGCTGGTTCTCAATGCCCCGGACTTCACCCAGATTGTTCTCGTCAATTTGCTGTCTTCTGTTTTGTAACGCATCATAAAAGCACTGAGCAATCGAGGCAGCAAGATCATCTGTATAGGAAGCTGAAGCTTTTGTATACTTGCCTTGAACGACCACGTGGGAATGATCGCGGCTACATCTTCGGTCCAGCTTTCTGATGCTCATGTTTACTGCCAAAAATCGGAAGCTCTTCAGATGCACTGACCCAAAAGAGCACGAGTCAGCCCTCACTACAGATGCACGTTCTTTTTCTTCGAGCCTTGACCAGGAGGGTAAAAGTCTCATCATAGAAGTCCAAGGCTGTTCAGCCAATCCTGGAAGCTTCAACCTGTAAGCAATCTGCAGCAAACATAGGGCTCTCAGCGCAAGCAAATTTCCCAAAAACGTCTGGCGGTCCCTGGGATCATACCCGAAAGGCTTTTGCCTGGATCGAAGAGGCGGTCTTCGGATCATGGAAAAAGAAGTACACACAGGTTCGACCATAATGCTAGAAAGCAAACCATCCATCATCAAGTAGCTCAGCCAGGAAATCACTCTGGGGTGAGCCATATCCATCTCCTTGCTAAAGGCTATGTCGATGGGAGGGCCAACATTAAGCCCAAGTCGGCTCGCTGCTTGACTTACTTTCGAGGAACCTGCGTAGACTTCAATGAAATGATACTTGAAAGCAATAGGGCGGCCTGCGGAAATTTCAGGACACCCACGGCCTAGGTCAAGGTCCTCGGCGCCCTCTTCTCGCAAGCCCAGCCTCTGCAGCAAAGACTCATATGGAGTTCTGAGCCTTGTGTAGGCCCCTTTGCTCCTGCATGATCTCCATAGAACTTCAACCATATTGCGGGGACACTCTGCAGAGACGATCGCTCCCTTATTTTCGGAGGCGTCTGTGGCAAAAATCTCTGAGGCAAAATCAGCCCCCAGGTCTGCAACGGCCAGGGGGGCTAAAGCGGCCAAGACAACCAGCTCATCTGCTACACTCCTCGGAAGGGGAACTAGCTTGGGATAGTTTGAATCAATTGCACCTGCATCAACTAAACGGTGCGAGGCAGAAAGTAGACTCATCAAAGGCCTCCGAAACATCAGCGCTGAAGTCCATCCTCCAAGCAAGCACAAGTGAAGCACATCCGTTGTGCATCGCAGCTGTGCCAGTTGCAGTGTTATCTGGCTAAGCGACAGCCGCTTATGCAGTGGAGAACCCAAAGTCGTAATACCTCGCCTCCCAGCTGTATCAAATGAGTTGATCTCCGCTCCAATGATTTTTGCTCGACATTCACCAAGAACATCTTTGTGCGGCGACCCTTTTATGTTAAGGCTGTCATAGGCTTCCTGACTTTTAGCAAAGCAATCAGCGGCCAGACTGTCTCCAGCCTTTCCAGCACGCTCCTCTCGAGAGATGGCAAAATAGTCGTCGATCACCAGCCCCTGACAAAGCGATCCACCTGAAAAAGGTCTGCTTGAAACAATCCTTTCACAGTCCACCAGAAGGCCTTTGGATTTCAGGAGCTGTTCATGTGCCCCTGTGGCAATTTCAACTCCCGCATGGTCGCCCTGGAAGATGGCCTTGAAACAGACATGCACCCTCTCGCTCTCATCGATCTTTCTGCTGTGAATGTGAGGCGGCCGCCCGCCTAAATGGAGTCCATCACCAACTTCCTCACGCCTTTTCGCCGGCCTTTTTCTTCCACTGCAGTTGAGAAGCATATACTTGTCATAGGCTCTGAGGCCCCTGAGCAAATGAAGTGGAACTGAAGGCCCAACGGCATTGGATGCAGCTTTTGACTCCGTGACCCAAAATTGGTGATAAAAATCTTTGCGATCTGTGCAATAAACTCGAAAGCATTGCTTTGTAGCATCCAGATGTAAATCCAACAAGTCACTACCTGCAGGGAGGCTCTTACTTGGACCTGGCACTTGGCATTCACAATAATTTCTTCCACGCCGGTCTCCAATTTGACGGTCCTCCTCAAGATTTTTGAAATTGTTGAAAACTCTTACTAG